TCAAGATCAACACATAAGATCATCTCATCAACATCAAGATCATATCGTAATCATCATAAAAGATTTATCAAGACACAAGCATAGAGATGGAGCCAAAGAAGAAGATTATAGCAAGGAAAATAGGTTTTGTTGAGACATGGATTACCTCTTAGCCTTAATTAATCCTCCCTTGGCTATTAAGGTTCTTCCTTAAGATTTACATCCGATTGATCTCCCTAGGCTTGGTGGTGGGGAATCCCTTGGGAATACTTTTGTGTAATATAACTATGGTGGTAAGGGATTTAATGTTTTCTAATCCCCTATTTATAGCATCAGGAATCCTAATCATAATCTGAATAGTAAAATGCCTACTTCCTCCATTCCTAATAGATAAATAGGTCTAGGATTCCTAATTAGAATCTGACTAGAAAAAGCTTTACTCTCTTTATTCCTAATAGGTTTAAGACTCTAGTTTAGGCGGGGGTCCACGATCCATGGTGGACCACATTAATTAATTAAAGGGAATCCTAATCAAATTAAATCCTTTTTAATTATTATTAACAGAATTAATTATATAATTAATCCGGGATTGAAGGTCGTAACACGGGGTGTTACACCCCCCCCCCTTGCGCCTTTACTTTCTACGAATGGCTTTAAATATTTTGTGTTGTTTGTGGATGATTACACACGGTATATATGGTATTATCCGATGCGTGCCAAATCTGAATTATATGGAATATTTGATAAGTTTCGGTCACTTGTTGAACATTGTTTTTCTCGCAAGATTATTTCTTTTCAATCTGATTTAGGGGGAGAATATAAGAAGCTTGGTTCCACCCTTTCTTCTCTAGGTATTCGTCACAGGCAATCTTGTGCCTATACTCATGAACAGAATGGACGGGTGCAGCGCAAGCATCGTCATGTTGTTGAGACAAGACTGTCCTTAATGGCTCAAGCATCTGTTCCTTCTCGTTTCTGGGACTATGCTTTTGAGACTGCTATCTATCTTATAAATAAAATTCCCACTCATGTTTTGTCTGATGAGTCTCCACACTTTCGTTTGCATCGTTCTCGCCCATCCTACTCTTACTTGCGGGTATTTGGTTGTTTGTGCTTTCCTGTTTTACGTCCATATAATCGAAATAAGCTACAATTCCGTTCATCTCCGTGTGTCTTTCTGGGTTACCCCCGTCTCATCGTGGCTATCGTTGTTTAGATACTAACACTAACAAGGTCTTTAGCTGTCACCACGTGCGGTTCGATGAGGCTGTGTTTCCTTTTGTTTCTCCTATTGCCTCGCAGGTTCCTAAGCCACGGTCCGAACCGTGGGACACCGCACCGGTTGTGACGAGCCGAGGGAATGATGTCTCGGCCACCTTTGTTGATGGCACTTGGCAGATTGACGAGCCCGTGTTGGCTTCTGGCCATGGTGACGGTGCTGGTCACGAGCAGTCCGCATCGAGTGAGCGGACTGTCTCTGACCAGTAGGTTGAGCAGTGCGGCAGACCGCGCCGGGCGTCCTCGGCGATCCACTCCGCCTCCTCGGTCGCATGGCATGAACACTCGTAGCTCGGGTCCACATCAACATGTTGCCTTAACCACTACTTCCATCGTGGTGTCTGAGCCTACATGTTACTCTCAGGCGGTCAAGTTTCCTGAGAGGAGTGATGCAATGGACGCAGAGTTCAATCCCTTGGTTCATAATCATACATGGCGTCTTGTTCCTTCTCAACCAGGTATGAATGTTGTTGGTTGCAAGTGGATTTTCAGAACCAAACAGAAGGCCGATGGTTCAATAGAACGTCATAAAGCACGGTTGGTGGCCAAGGGTTTTAATCAGGTTGCTGGAGAGGATTTTTTTGAGACATTTAGTCTTGTGGTTAAACCCACTACGGTACGTCTTCTCTTATCTTTAACCGTATCGCGTGGGTGGTCTATTCGCCAGTTGGATATTCACAATGATTTTTTGAATGGCGAGCTAGCTAAGACTGTTTACATGCGCCAGCCACCTGGTTATGAGGATCAGTCATTACCTGATCATGTGTGTTTGCTTAAAAAATCTCTCTACGGTCTCAAACAGGCTCCACGTGCATGGTTCACAAGGCTACATAATTTTCTAGTCTCTGTGGGCTTTGCACCTTCAAAGACTGATGTGTCTATTTTTATCTATTCGCGTGATAATGTTCGTCTTTATTTCTTAGTGTAAGTTGATGACATTTTGATTATGGGGTCTGACTCAGACCGTGTTACTGCTCTTATTAATAAATTGGCACTTGAGTTTAAATTTCGTGATATGAGTGTGCCTTCTTTCTTTTTGTGAATTGAAACTGTCCCGTTATCTAGTGGTATGCTTTTATCTCAACAACGGTACATGAAGGATATTCTCAAACGTTAAGTCCAAACCCAAACACCATAAATTTACCTAGATGCAAAAATTACCAAAATACCAACGCGTTTTTAATTTAATTTTGGTAATCTAAACGTTGATTTAAGCAAAACCAATGGTTATCTTTCACTGAACAACCGCACCTAGCACCCTCAACTGCACAGGAACCCCTTTATATATATACTATTTTTTTACGCGCATTGCGCGATTGGGATAATGCCCAATGTTTTTTTTTTTTAAATAAGTACTTTAAAGTATATCAAAACAATATTATATTGAAATTGTTCACGCGTAGATAATTGAATGTTAAATTTGTATATTTAAATATGCAATTCTAAGTTTACAAATGCAAGATAATATAGTTAAGATTGATTATAATTGTCAATAAAATAATTGTATAGGTATGGTTGAAACCAAATACGGGGACATAAGGGAGAGCAAATAAAACTTAGGGCATAAAATATTAAATATATACTAATATTGAAAAGTTAATTGTTGATTGTCAAACAAGGACATTGCGATATAATTTCCCACTTTAATTTGTCGTGTGATTTGAATACTCTTTTTGTCAATAAATTTCCCAAGTAGTTAATATGATTGGCTTAATTATATTTTTTTTATTTTTTTAAAACAATTATTATTATTATTATTATTATTATTATTATTATTATTATTATTATTATTATTATTATTATTATTATTATTATTATTATTATTATTATTATTATTATTATGTATACCCTTAGGTCATTTTACATGTTAATCTAAACAGTTAATTTTTTCAAATATCTTTTTATCAACCGTTGATGTAATTCGCTGGTCAAATTCGCTAATATAATCCGCTAACGCTAACCGCTAACTGCTGATTGTCAAACAAGGACATTGCGAGGTAGTTCTCACTTCAATTTGTTGTGTGATTTGAATACTCTCTTTGTCAACAAATCCCTCAAGTAGTTAATATGATTGACTTAATTAATTTTTTTAAAAAAAAATCATGGTATTAATAAAATACTTGGTAATAAATATATAGCATTATTTTGTTTTATAACTTCGTTATTTAATTAAAAAATTAGTGCATTATTAAATATATGTATACCCTTAGGTCATTTTACATGTTAATCTAAACAAGCTAATTTTTTCAAATATCCTTTTCCCAACCGTGGATATAATTTACTGGTCAAATTCGCTAATATAATCCGCTAACTCCTAAGTGTCAAACAAGGACATTGCGTGATAATTCTCACTTTAATTTGTTGTGTGATTTGAATACTCTCTTTGTCAACAAATCCCTCTAATAGTTAATATGATTGGCTTTATTAATTATATTTTATTTTAATTTTTTCATGGTTTTAATAAAATGCTTGGTAAATAAATATATAGCATTATTTTGTATTATAAATTTGATATTTAATTAAAAAATAGTACACAAAAAAGATAATAGATAATGTAGTGAATATAATCAATTGATGAATTTGAATGTAAGGAATTTTTACATTGGAGAAATATAAATACAATATAACTAATAAAATTATATCTCTTAATTAATTTATTGATAATGAATAATTTTTTTGAATAAAGACATTGTAGGGACAATGTAGCGAATATAATCAATTGATGAATTTGAATGTAACGAATTTTTATATTGGAGAAAAATAAATACAATATAACTAATGAAATTATTTCTCTTATTTAATTTGTTGATAATGAATAATTTTTTTTAATAAAGACATTGTATACACATAATTCTAAATTAAAAAAATGCATATGTATTATTTTTTGTTGTAGCTACTAAATTATTATTTAATTTAATAAGAGTAAAATAGAGTACTAATTATGTCAATATAATAATTTAATAAGAGTAAAATAGAGTACTAATATGCCAATTTTGATTGGGATGGGGTTCGAACATTTTTTTTTTTTGAAAGTTACTGGCTCTATTACATTGTAGTAGATGTTCATATACTTTCTCAACCTACTAAAACACAAAGAACCAATAACGCCTCCACTGAGGCTTGAACTCATAATCTTCCAAATTGAAGTCCAACCCGGGTACAATTAGACTACATAGTCTTGGTGGATGGGGTTCGAACATAAGACTTTTCTTATTGAAATCAATGAGTAAGTTAACGGTGAACTAACAGAAATTAACGGAAAAGATTATATTTAACGGAAAAGTTAACGGATAATCATATTCATTAAGGATATATTAGGAAATCTTAAGGAAAAATTAAAATCTGATCAATCTGAGCCATTCATTTGATTAAAAATTTTGACCGCCATTTTTTCTACCCATTATAGGCCTAACTCTCTTGGGCTCTTATTAGTATATATATATATATATATATATATATATATATATATATATATATATTGAACATTATATATTTGTAAATTAAACACATACATTGGCTGACATGAAAAATTGGATAGGGGTTCGATTCATAATTTGATAAGATGGTAAATTTCTTCTCTGTATCTTTAGACTTCAACTAGAAGTTGCACCCGTGCGATGCACGGTCCTATTATTATGGTGAAATATATTAAAAATTGTTTTATTCATTATATAGGTTTAATAAGGTTATAGAAGTCAGAAATACACAAAATATAATATTTTATTGATAAGTAAACTAAACAATTACAAATTATTAAAGATTTCTTTATAAACTACATTTTGGGTCTTGTTTATCAGACCTCTAGATTCCCCAAAAATTAAGACCTTAAGACCATCCGGATTATTGACCCGAGATACTGCAACATATAATTGGCCATGATTAAAAACAGGTTTTTTCAATATCAAACCAACATGTGAAAGCGTCTGACCTTGACTTTTGTTGATTGTCATTGCATATGATAACATAAGCGAGAATTTCTTTGAAACTTGAATGGAAGTCTTGGGTCTGAAGGAGTCAAAGATAGCCTTGGTATCAGAACCTTTGTACCTGCGTTATTGCCAGCTATGATTTTCCCCTCAATTACATGATTTCCCAATTGTGTTACTATTAACCTTGTACCATTGCACAACCCCATCGAGTGATCTCTCAACAGCATAACTGGAGTTCCAATTTTCAATGTTAAAGAGTGGTTTGGTACACCTGAGCACCTCAGACTATTTAAAAATTCTGTTGTGTGTACCTGAGATTGCATATCAAAGTTTGCCTCAGCCTTGCAAATAGAATCACAACTCAAATATGTCCTTGATGCAGCTTGATTAATATCATTCAGGTACTCATTGACCTCGTCAACCACATCCAATGTTGGAGCTAAAATAGCTCTATCCTCTAATTGTCTTTCATCCATGTTGCCAGAATGGTATTCAGGGAATGTGGTTTCAACAATTTGTTTGATTGGATCAACCTCATTTTGTAATACAATGGAAGACGGCATTATTATATTGCAATCAACATTGTTGTCTTCACCAAGATTACCATCACCTAAATCCGCAATCCACTTGGCAAAACTATCTAACTTCTCCAAATCATCTTCATTACTAACACCGCGCAATCTTAAATTCTTCGTTAGACGAAGAACTTCACAATTATTCCACAAGTAAGATGAATTAATGCTGGCTTGTATTATATCTTGTCTAGTACCTTTGGGAATAACTGGTAGAATTTGTCTAAAGTCTCCACCCAACACCACAGTTTTCCCTCCAAATGTCATTGTTGAGCTCCTTGAATTTTTGAACCGCATTAAGTCTCGCATTGTGCGATCCAATGCTTCAAAGCAATGTTTGTGCATCATCGAAGCTTCGTCCCAAATTATTAATTTGGACTTGATTATCAATTCAGCAAGCGGACTGCCTTGCTTTATGTTGCAGGTTGAATCTTCATTAACACCAAGCGGTATAGCAAACCTGGAGTGTGCAGTCCTACCGCCAGGTAGCAGCAACGAAGCTATTCCGCTTGAGGCTACGTTTAGAACGATCTCGCCTTTGGACCTTAAAGCTGCTGAAATTGTCTTCCACAAAAATATTTTTCCGGTTCCACCGTAACCATATACGAAATACAATCCACCTTTCTCATTTTCAACATCTCCCATCACCTTATTGTATATGAGTAGTTGTTCATCAGTTAGCTTCGGATGCAACGAATCATGTAGATGCATTAGAGCTTCCCTATCATATGACATTTCCTCTAACAATAACCTATTACCACAAATCCAATCATTGTTTCCATCTGGCATTGGCATAGGTGGGTAATCTGATAGAGATTTGTTCCAAGCATTCAACAATTTCTCTATTTCAAGCAGCGCAAAATTCTTTTTTTGAGATTCATTCATGTTTAAATCTACAAAATAAAAGACAAATTTACGATGTAAGGCTTTTAAACAGCAATTTTAATAATAATATTAAAATAAATTATACCTGGGACTGATAGGTTCCTTCTATAAACATATTCAGCATCATCTGATAAGAATTGCCAAACCATCTCCCAAACATTTTCTGGGTTGGCCATCGAACTGGATGTTAGAAGGGTAACAAACAACTTCCGTAGAGAACTTGCTAAGGACCACGTTTCTGCCTCAGTGATTGCATCAATATACTCTTTATCATCTTCAATTAATCCGCGGGCATAACACGCATCTCTAAAGGAATTGTATTGAACACCATCGACCTTTTTAATCTCATCAAATGAAGTCGGTCCACGAACTATATTAAGTAAACACCTAAGATAAAAGATCTCACCAGTATTTGGTGGCACATAAAAGATTCGCCCAATTTCCCAATTTCTTTGCCTAGGTTGTCATTCTCTTTTATCACTCTTCCAAACAAATTTTGTTGGCATTTGTGAATAAGTCAACTCCCTCCCTGCTGCATACTTTTTATTAGCTTCAAACCAGGCAGTAAACATGCTTTGAGATACTGTTGGTCGATTTACCACATCATCGACCAAATCGTCGTCATGAAATATTATTGATTGCTCATTGGGAAGATGGAAACTCAAACGTTCAACAGATGGGTTCCTAAATTGTATGTCAAACCCAAAAATCCTCCACGCAGCCTCAGGGGGTGAAATATATCTACAGTCATAGTACATTTTGATTTCATCTACAATTTTCCCCGTAGATTCTTCCACCCCACTATTGTAGAATTCAGCGGTTACCCTATCATTCCCTTTGTTGACGTACTTGAATAAGTACTTAATTGATCTAGATTAGTTGCACCACTCCACATTAATATGAGCCTTGTACTTCATAAGCAAATATCTATTGTGTGGCACAACATATCTACTATCAAGGTTAATACCATTCTTCCGTATTGTACGACCATTATCTCGACGTCGATAGATTGGATATCCATCGAAATCCACTGTTGAGTTTTCCACAAATTTTTTGGGGAAGTATTTAGAGCAAATACCATTTATCATGCACGGTGAGTTCTTCCTCGCTGCACCACATGGACCGTGAATCATAAATTCTTCTACAGCTTTATAATACTCAGGGTCGCACAATTGACTTGGAATCTCAGCAGATATGATCATGTCAATATCTTTAGGATTAGGATAAGAGTTACTCTTGCTCAAGAATATCAAAATGTGTGCATGTGGCAATCCCCTTTTCTGAAATTCAATGGTATAAATAACTGCAAACACGGAAATTGTGAAATTAGCCCCAAATAAATTGTCCATTATTTTAAGTCTACAAAACAATTAAATATATTCAATAACATTTATAAAATCACATAATTTACCTGCATCCACCAGTCCAAAAATCTTCTCCTTCTTAATGTCTTTTATCAGTGCATTTAATTTCATTTTAAACACACGGCATACTATATCCGGCCTATCTTCAGCTTTGAGTTTACTTGGTTGTAAAAATCTTTCAATCTCAGGCCACTTAGGATTACACGTGAATGTAATAAATAGACTTGGATACCCGATCCATCTACAAATCGCCATTGCATCTTGGTAATTTTGCACCATATATCTTGCACCTCCTGTAAAACTCAATGGCAAAATAATCCGCTTTCCTTGGGAAGTAGGATCTACCTCACCACGTTCCTATTATTATGGTGAAATATATTAAAAATTGTTTTATTCATTATATAGGTTTAATAAGGTTATAGAAGTCAGAAATACACAAAATATAATATTTTATTGATAAGTAAACTAAACAATTACAAATTATTAAAGATTTCTTTACAAACTACATTTTGGGTCTTGTTTATAAGACCTCTAGATTCCCCACAAATTAAGACCTTAAGACCATCCGGAGTACTGACCCGAGATACTGCCACATATAATTGGCCATGATTAAAAATAGGTTTTTTCAATATGAAACCAACATGTGAAAGCGTCTGACCTTGACTTTTGTTGATTGTCATTGCATATGATAACATAAGCGAGAATTTCTTTGAAACTTGAATGGAAGTCTTGGGTCTGAAGGAGTCAAAGATAGCCTTGGTATCAGAACCTTTGTACCTGCGTTATTGCCAGCTATGATTTTCCCCTCAATTACATGATTTCCCAATTGTGTTACTATTAACCTTGTACCATTGCACAACCCCATCGAGTGATCTCTCAACAGCATAACTGGAGTTCCAATTTTCAATGTTAAAGAGTGGTTTGGTACACCTGAGCACCTCAGACTATTTAAAAATTCGGTTGTGTGTACCTGAGATTGCATATCAAAGTTTGCCTCAGCCTTGCAAACGGAATCACAACTCAAATATGTCCTTGATGCAGCTTGATTAATACCATTCATGTATTCATTGACCTGAGATATTATAGTTAGAAATTAAATATTATTAAATGAAAAATGGTAATGGAAAGCATTGGCTCTAATAGAATGAAACAAATATTTATTAAATTAATGTAGAATTTATAGAACACTTTCTTATTGACAATATTTGTAATCAACAAATCAAATTGTAAATCTATGTAGTACTCCACCTATACGATGCACAAATATTTGTAATCAACAAATCAAATTGTAAATTCCAATGCTTTTAGAATATTATATATATATATATATATATATATATATATATATAATAACAAACATCACATCTTTTCATTACAACATTAAATTTTTTGTAATACATTACAGAATAGGCACACTAAGATTATTACTCTATTTAGTACCAAACAATAGCAACATTGCTAATAAAATCACACCTAAAGCATCGTCGACCAAGCTTTCTTTTCAACTTGAGTAGCATCACTCATTGACATCTTAACTCTCGCCCATTCTCTTTGGACAGATGTCATATCACCTCCTAGTTGTTGATCGATACAACTCAAATCTCGTGATTCATTTAGTGTTGTCCCATAATCAATGTCCAGGATTTCTTGAACTTGAGCATTTATCGAAATATCAATACCAAAAATTCACAACCATTTTCGTGTAATATTAAAAGACTCATATAAATTAACAATATACTCGAATGAATTGTATATCAATGAAAAAAAAAAAACACAACAACAACACAATATAATCATTTAAATAATTATTAAAAATTACACAACAAATGTAATATCACAAATCAAAACAATTAGAAAAAATATAATATTTTCTAAAGTATAAAACAAAAGTAAATAATAAAAACCCACCCGTCTAACCCAAATTCTCCTCCCCCATTTATGTCTTCTTCTTCGCTACTCTGTCCAAAAACCCTCGCCCCTCACCAAATATGGAAAGCAAACAAATTTCTTACCCCCAAATCTAAATCCAAGCTACGCATGGCTGAAAATACTACAAAAAATGTTTTCAATTCCGTTATTTCAAACTCTTGAACCCAGAACACCGACAGATCGATCGACAAATACGGTCTTCAATAGCAACGGATGCAATATCATACAATTTCAGGTAATTTTAACTATTTTCCAAGAAACACTAATTCATTTCTTCATATAATTCGTAGATAAATACACACACGACATATGTATAAAAATGCAGAACGATATTGAAGTTGAAAACGTATTTGAAGGGATACCAACAAAGATAAGTATTCTATTCCCTAAAATTTGAAATATAATATTTAGCTAGAATATTCAATCATTTAATCTGGTCCCTTTATTTGCTCTGCATGCATATTTCTTTGCAATTTAATCCGAAGAATTGTCCTTGTTAATTTGCTTAAATATGATATTAGATCGGTTTTAGTATTTCCAGATTCGCTTTAATCGCATGTAATATTTAGTTCTATTATTTTTAATCTCATTATTTTACAATATATTAATTTGTTTTATTTTTAATTGCGAAGTGTAATTTTTTTTTACAAATATTATAGAAGGGAAAGGAAATCATAACCGTACATACGCATATATTCAATACCGTACAATGCCATTTTGCTTATTCAAATTTACAACTTGTTCTTTTCAGTATTTGTCTCAATGCGAGCTATTTGAAGGTCGGAGGCTTGAAGCAACTTTGCTGTTAGGTAATTTCTTTAAAACCAATTTTTTTTTTTTTGTTGTTGTTGTTTTTTAGTCGTATCCATTCAATATTTAACTTAAAAGTAATGTAATTTTGAAGCAGATAATTTTGAATTTATAAAAGCAGAGAATAGAGACATTAAATAAAACAACTAATTCAATCTGAACATTGCTTTTCAAAAAATGTTCCTTACCGTATATCTTAAATATGGGCTAACATGCTAAATTTTTTTTTTTTTGCTTTACCTTAGCTTCTACTTTTTATGCATTCTATGTATTTTTAACCCATTATTTTCAAATGATTTTATGACATACTGTCTGACTGTCTCATCTTCATGTTGATGGTGAGTTGGTGGTGGATCAAGTGACAACCAATTAAGGAAAAAATAATCAGTTACTCTTTGTTCTTTACCTTTGAACACCAATCAAGAAAATAATAATCAATTTCTCTTTGTTCTCATCATTTGGACTTTTTTTCCCGTCAGTGCAAATCTCCTTTGAAGTTCAACTATTTCTCTCTGTTCTTTTCCTTCGAATAAAATATTTGGCTTTGCAGTATACATGCTCTTCATGTCTAGAAAATATTTCTTCTTTTGATAATCTTATATTCATGATGGAGCAAAAAAAAGAACAGCATTCATACATTTTTCTCAAAATTTGATGATGTGAAAACCATTACTAAAGCTAAGGTAGAGCATGATGTGAAGGTATATCAGTTTCGCTTTGTTCTCATCATTTGACAAATTTTATTGTTTTTCTAACAGTTGCATGAAGAAATATAAGTTGCCTCTAACTGTAGAACATGGTTTCTTCATGTCTAGCTCCATTATGTCTGCCTCTTTCAATGATTCTTCTCCTTCATTTATTCCTCTCTTGTTTTTTCTTTTTTGCAGGCATGACTGTTAGAGAACCTCATCTTCCTCTACATTCTACTGCCTTCCGCTTCCTCTGCCGCTACTGCAATGAAAAAAGGGTTCTCCTACTATGCAAATTTGCCAAGTAGCATGTGTTACATTTAATCTATTTTGGCATAATATAGTGTAGTTAATTGAGTTTGGATTTTATCATACAGATTGGAAGTTTTTACATGCTGCAAAACTACAATTGGTTATTTAGTTAACTTGCAAGTGAAGTGAACGACGGTGAAGGCAAACAACTTAGTATAAGGTAATATGATTTTTTGAATATAGTAGTTGTAATTTTTTTAATACTTTGTAGGTAGTGTTAATCTAGTTTGTAGTTCATGTAATTGAATTAGAGTTTCTTTATTGTAATATCAGTTCGCCTTAAATTGTATTCCAATTTTGCAGGATTCAACTCATTTGTCAACTTAAGTAAAGTTGAATGTGTCCAAAACTGAAGTCATTTCAATGTTAAATGTGTAATGTGGTTAAATCTACAAAAGAGGTACATATGCTATTATTATTAGTGACTAATTTATTTGTCTAGATTGTCAATAGCAAATTCTTGGCCTAAGTTACACATTGCATATAAATAGTAGTCAGATGTCCTATCTGTAAACATTTTGTCTTTCCAGCATGTTCCTTGAATATTTCTTTATTCCCTTGCACCACCATCTTTCTTGAATATGCGCCTGAAAATAACCTAAGACAACTGCAAGATAGCTAATATCTATCACATAGAAACCAATAGTTCTAACTTAGACATCATTGGCACTTTGGCCAAAAACCACAGTCTAAAATCATGTTTTAGAGGTCAAACAGGGCAAAATACAGAACTGAATATTGTTTCACAGCCCACCAATACAAAAGGATTTTGTCAGAAACCAAGCTAGTCTAGGTCAATGTCACTTTTTCCAGCTTCACATTCACTTGCTTATTCTTATTTGAGGTTTTAGTGGATGATAATTCATCCAAAAGATTTCTAGTCAGTGAACCACTTACATCACCACTCAATTCCTTCACTGGATTCAAAGCAGTTACCGGACTTTCAGCCTCATAATCATTCTCTTCGAAGAATTTTTGCAAAAATTTCCAAATTACATATCATATTCCATTTAAGAAAATAACAATTAATTATAGATTAGAACTATATCTAGTTAGGAACCTTACATCATCAGTGTCATGTTTATCATGCACTGTCTTTCTCAATTTTTACCACAGGAAATGCATTATGTAGATTGTCAAATTGTTCCTTTCTAGCAGCAATTTTAAATACCAATGATAAACCAAACCAAAGTCTTTAACTCCATAGGTATCTTCCCATTTCCCCAAGTCAAGTTCATAGTCTGCATTAGTTCACTCATAGTATAAAGATTAAAAGATTATTAAGGGTCCGTTTGGAAAGCAGGAAAATGACTTCTGGAAAATGTTTTCTGGAAAATGAGTCATTTTCCGGAAAACATTTTCCTTTCCAGTGTTTGGTTGCATTATGGAAAACTCTTTTTCTGTGTTTGGTTCATTTTCTGGAAAATGAGTAGAATTGTATAATTAAACATTTTAATTATTTTATTTAGAATATTACAACATGTATAATAATATATAATAATATAATATTAATTTTAAATATAATAAAAAATAGCTAAGTTTTTCAAAAAAAACAAAATTAATAATATATCAAAAATATTATGGTGGTGGTGGTGGTGTAGTGGTAGTGGTGTTATTCGTTATATAATAATAATAATAATAATAATAATAATAATAATAATAATAATAATAATTGGTGGTGGTATGACGGTGGTGGTGTGGTAGCGGTGGTGGTTGCGGTGGTATGGTCGTGGTGGTGGTGGCGGCGGCGGCGGTGTGATGGTGGTGGCGGTGGTTGCGGTGGTATGGTGGTGGTAGCGGCAACGGTGGTTGCGGTAGTATGCTAGTGGTGGCGGCGACGACGGTAGTGGTGTTGGTGTGATGGTGGTGGTAGTATGACGGTGGTGGTGATGGTGGTGGCGGCGACGGTGGTTGTAGTGGTATGGTGGTAGTGGTGGTGGTGGCGGCGATGGTGGTTGCAGTGGTATGGTGGCGGTGGTTGCGGTGGTATGATGGTGATGGGGGCGGCGGTGGTATGGTGGTAGTGGTGGCGGCGGTGGTGGTGTGAAGGTGGTGGTGTGGTGGCGGTGGTATGTGGTGGTGGTGGCGGCGGTGATGGTGGCGGTGGTGGTGGTGGTGGTGGTAGTGGTTGCGGTGTTGGTGGTGGTTGTGGTGGTGGTGTGATGGTGGCGGGGGTATAGTGGTGGTGGCGGTGGCAATAGTGGTGGTGATGGTGGTATGGTGTTGATGATGTTGGTGGTGGTGTGATGTTGGTGTAAAAGTTGGAAAATGACTTCCCCCAAAAAAAGGGGAAGTCATTTTCCTCCAAAACAAGCCTATTTTCCAAAGTCAACGGAAAATGATTTCCGTTGACTTGATTTTCCAGGCACATCCAAACACTGAAAACTTGGAAAATGATTTCCAGAACTCATTTTCCAGGTTTCCAAACACACCCTAAAAGTAGATGGTGAGATGATATTTACCCTTGGATATAATGCTTTCAATTCTGCTGTTGTCATACCAATTAGATCAACACATTCCACTTCCCAAAGGAAGAATGGGGGCATCCCCATTAAGATCGGCCACCCTCACTTTCAAACAATATCTCAAAATACCTTCAGCCCAAATTCTGCTACACTTATCACAGTACTATAGGCCACCCTTAGACACAAACTTTTTATTGCACCCTTTTGACTTGCTAGAAACATACTAATAAACTTCTCTAATTTCTTCATTCTACTGCCTTTGGTTGTTGCAATGTAGTGCTTTTGAAAATGAAAAAGTTCTTTGATCCAGAGAAATTTTTAGAGCTATTCAACCTACCATCAAACACTTTGAAAGACATGCTAATATTGTTGGATGCAGTTGGACCAAGGTAACTTTTAATTATTTTTTCAACTTATTTTAATCATTACATCTAACACATGTGCAAATGTGATTTTTAAGCCTACTGCTTTAGTTGATATGTATACTATTTAGTACTTCGAAAAATGCTAAAATAATACTTGGTTCAAGTATTTTATTAAGTATTAAGAGTACTACGTTTTTGAAAAGTAGGCTATTTCTATTCTGTTAGTACTAAATACACTTGGTACTTAACTACCTTTGTTATCGGTAGGAGCTATTGTATAAAATAGCTTTTTAAAACCAAAGCATGCAGATAAATTAGAAAAATATATAGATAAGAAAATAAGAAATAAAAATATTTCAATTGCAGTACGTATTATTCATACCTCAGCTTTGTCATATAGATCTTTTATAGTGCTTGTTACCATAGGAGACTTGGAATTGTATGTACTGTTGCCATAGGACATCATTGACACACAGTTGATGATTCTAACTGGGGTATATTCAACCTTCAATCTGAAAACAAATAAGTATTAGATCTGAAATATTGTTTTAAAAGTAAATCATAATCTGGTTTTTGGTTTAAAATCATATGTGTATTTAGAAGGAATGAAATAGAAGGATTAAAATAGATTTAAAATTACCTGGACTGAGGTACTCGTACTGAGGTCTTTGACTCTTTTCCTAAAATGTAGAGGGGAGCCATTTTCAGGCGGAGTAGATGGCAAAGAAAGAACAAACACGCAGACCTTAATTCGCAAAATGGCTTGTTAGTTGCCATTATTTATAGAACAGAGTTAAGCTGAAGAGTTCAAATTAGATTTGGAGGATTTAGAATTCCAAGAAAACTCAACAATTACTGAAGAGCAATTATGGGTTTGCACCGGAAAATGAAACGCCAAAATAAAAAAGCTGCAAAGTGTTTTGAATTCATCTCTATTGATATGTATTTATTTAATCTGAGTTTCGATTTTGATATGTATTCGCAATAGTGTATGTATAAAATCATTAAATGCAAACGGTGGCCTTCAACTTTGAACAACTCCCCACAAATTTGGGAAATCTAAAAGGTGGCTGAGCATGACTTAAGTATTTAAGATTAATACAAATACAATTACTGAAAATATCAAGTTAATTAAAAGTATTTGACCGCAATCTTCTAATAGCCAAACGACGTCACTTTTATTGAGCGGGAAAATGAAGTCATTTCATTGGTCGAAATCTTATGGCTTTAATATATATATATTTTTTTTTGCATAATTATGGCTTTAATATATAGGAAGAAGATTATGCGAACAAAAAAAGAAGGAATGATGGTTAAATTGCGCACCCAAATTTAATTAGGTCATTGAATTTAAAAAAAAAAATGTAATTGGATCACTCAACAACATAAAATTATGCAATTATGTTTAAAATAACTTGTTTACCTGAAATTATGGGTTACTAATTTTAAAAATAATTTTAAATAAAATAATTAATTAAAATTAAAATTTAAAAAAAAAAAACGAAAATCGCCCGAGACGATTCATCTCCGGCAGTCTTCGTCTCCATGGCCGGAGACGGAGAACTTCTTCTCCATAGGATGGAGACGATGACCTTGGTCTCCCTTCGTCTCCATGGCCTGAGACGAAGGGATGGTCTTTGGCCATGGAGACGAATGAACTTTTGTCTCCATGGCCAGGGAGCAATCGTTATGCTTTGCAACCGTGTGCACCATGCAAGGTGCACACGGAATTGGATCCATAATTTTTATACTATAGATTCATAATTTCTATACTATAGATTCATAGTTTCTATACTATAGATTCATAATTTCTATATTGTAGATTAATAATTTCTATACTATAGATTCATAATTTATATACTGTAGATTCATAAAATCTATACAGAAATTATAGATTCATAAAATCTATAGTATAAAAATTATGAATCTATAGACTATAGTATAGAAATTATGAATTTATAGTATAAAAATTATAGGAATTTATAGTATAGAAATTATGAATCTATAGTATATAAATTATGGATCCAATTCCATGTGCACCTTGCATGGTGCACACGATTACACAACATAATTTGCCGCCAGGAAGACCAATCTTGGAGACGAAGGCCTTAATCATACTATATGACATGGCAAATTCATCATATGAGTCCCAGAAAATGTGTTATTGAAATAACGGGGTGTTTGGTTGGAAGGAAGGAATTAGGAAGAAAAGGAATTGTAATTCGGTGGGAAAAGAATAATGTGTGAATAAAGTAAGAATTCAAATTACATTATTTGGTAGGGGAGAAATATAATTTTGGAGTTGAGGAGGAAAGAAATGGTATAAAGACTAAAATACCCCTGTGTAATAATAATAGTAATAACAACTAAGGGTAGTAGTATCATTTCATTTATTTTTCCTTTCTCAAATTTATTGAATTGTGCAATTCAACAAAAGGAGGAAATTGCAATTCTGTAGAATTGCAATTCCCCCCAACCAAACGATGTAATTGAAGCATCCATTGAATTGCAATTCAATTACAACGAAATTACAGTGAACCAAACGCCCTGTAAAAGTTGAGAGTAAAAAATAAAGGATTAATATTTGATGCACCGTCGGTGTATAGATACTATACACCGGCGGTGAATGAGGAGACGACCCATCATTAAAAATAAATTCAATATTAATTGGGTTTTTTTTTACAAAATATCTAAGACTTGTATTTTTTTTAGGAAACTCTTTTATTTCTAATAACAAAATTAAATATATCTACTTTTCTAAATATATTTATTATTAATTATTATATATATCTAATTATTTGTAATATATATATATATATATATATATATATATATATATCTAATTATTAATACGATTAATAATGATAATACTGTACCGCTGAAACATTAGAATTAACCATGTAAATAAATTTCCTATTATTAATTCTAATATAAAAATAAATTTCTATTGTCGATTCTATTGTAATTTAAAAATAAATTTACTCTTTAGACACTAAAATTAAAGAATTCTTAATTAAAAATTGTATTTGATATATAAAAATTTTTAAATTATTATATTTATAATTAAGAATTTCTATTTTTAATTAACAAAAATCATTGGATTTCCTATATCTATCTTAACTCCTAAATCTATTCAAACCCCTAAACTCCTAAATTTATATTACAACCATAGTCACTATTAGAAACAATTGCAACATCTTATAAGAATATATATGTTCAATAATGTAAAAATTAACACTTAATCAAATGCACTAATAGGTTAAAGTATGTGCACTGGTAAGTGATTTTACTTGCATTTCGATGTTCATTTATTTACGAAAATACTACCGCATTTTTTTTAAGTTATTAGATCTGGACACGTGTCGCGCGCTGATTCGTTCACATATTCCTTCCTAGGCACTTATTCGCACCTGAGTGCTTCCATATATATATATATATATATATATATGTGTGTGTGTGTGTGTGTGTGTGTGTGTGTATGTGTGTGTGTGTGTGTGTGTGTGTATATATATATATATATATATATATATATATATATATATATATATATATATTCTTATAAGATATTGCAATTGTTTCTAATAGTGGCTAAGATTGTAATTTAAATTTAGGAGTTAAGATAGATATAGGAAATCCGATGATTTTTGTTAATTAAAATTAAAAAAATTCTTAATTATAAATATAATAATTTAAAAATTTATTTTTATATATCAATTACAATTCTTAATTAAGAATTATTTAATTTTAGTGTTCAAAGATAAATTTAGTTTTAAATTTCAATAGAATGAACAATAGGAATTTATTTTTATATTGGAATTAATAATAGGAAATTTATTTACATGGTTAATTCCAAGGTTTCAGCAGTATTAATCCTATTAATAATTAGATATATATTTTTTAGTACAGATAATTATAATAATTAAGTAATAAATATATTTAGGAAAGTAGATATATTTTGTTATTAGAAATACAAAATTTTCCTAAAAAAAAATATAAGTCTTAAATAGTTTGTAAAAAAGAACCTGATTAATATTGAATTTATTTGTAATGATGTGTCATCTCCTCCTTCATCGCCGGTGTATAGCATCTATACACCGACGGTGCATCAAATATTAATCCAATATTTGATGCACTGTCAGTGTATAGATGCTATACAACGGCGGTGAATGAGGAGATGACACATCATTAAAAATAAATTCAATATTAATCAGGTTCTTTTTTATAAAATATTTAAGACTTGAATGTTTTTAGGAAACTCATTTATTTCTAATTAACAAAATATATCTACTTTCCTAAAAACATATTTATTACTTACTAATTATCTTCTTTTTTTTTGGTGAGTAAAGAGGAGCTAAGGAGCCCCAGAGAATTAAGAGAGTCTTTGCGATGCCACACTGTTGGCATCCCGAGCAAGAAATGTGCTCATATCAGAAGGTGGGAGATCAAGCAAAAAAGTCCCCCAAGAAGAGTTGTGTCCCAAGTTGGCCAAAAAATCCGCACATTGGTTTCCCTCCCGAAGAACATGGCGGAGATCGCATTCTTGGAATTCTTCCATCAATGATTTGCAGTCGAGGATCAAGGTGCCCGCTTCCGGAGTGAGGTCCGAAGCATTGTGTAAGGCACGGACCAAGGCTTCTGTGTTAGATTCCGCAATGAGACTGGTAGTACCGTAGTCTTTGGCCATGATTAATCCCTCCCGGAGGCCCTAGAGTTCTGCTATGAAGCTGCTCGTCACTCCTATCTTTGAGGAAAAGCCCCTAATCCAGTTGCCCAGGTGATCGCGGAGAACCCCACCTGCGCTAGCCAAACCCGAGGGAGATTTTTTTGAGCCATCCGTATTCAACTTAAGCGTCCCCGGAGGCGGAGGAGACCAGTAAACCCACGTGAGCTTCCCTGGCAAAGGACCCCTATGCTTGAGAAGATGATGTTTTGCTTCATCCGTCTGATTCCTGGCACATCTACAGACCTCTTCAGCCGGAGTAGAAGAATGGTTGAAGACCCAATTGTTTCTAGCTTTCCAGATGCTCCATAAAAGATGAGGAAAGGCAAGGTTCCAGTAGCTGCTTCGAACTTACTGGGACGGCGGCAATCCTGCGTTTCTTATCCATTCAGTTAGAGGCGTGATGGAGAGGTGGTTGAAGCTTGGTGGCGCATTATAGCGGTTCCAACAGTCCGCAGTCATCCCACATCTCCGGAAGAGGTGATCCAGAGTTTCTTGATCTAATCCACATCTTGGGCAGGTACCATCATCGGTGAGACCGCGACGTAATCTTTCGGTGTTGACGAGGAGGCCATTGTTCAGTTCCACATCCAGCCTTGGTCGATTTCTTCTTCTGTATGTCCTGCAATTAAAGAGTGAGCAGATTTAACAGTAAAAAGTCCTGTACCTGAGTGAGGCCACGTTAACGTATCCTCTTGGTCCCTTCTGATGCTGATAGGCACCGCCCGGATGAGATTCATGGTATTCTCCGGAAGGAAGCTTTCAAGTGAATCAGTCTCCCAGTTCCTGTTTGTTGAAATGAATTGTCCAACTTTTGCTTGCGCCAACTGTGGAGGGATCACGAGGTTGGGAAGGGATGCGATTGGGCCATTACCTACCCAAAAATCATGCCAGAAGTTTACTGAACCTCCATTGCCCACCTTTCATTTGATACCCTGATTAAGAAAATATCTCCCCTTGATAATACTCTTCCATCCCCCAGAGCAGTTTGTAGGGGTAGTAGCTGAGAGGAAGTCACCCCCTTTTAAGTATTTTTGACTCATCACCTGGACCCAGAGCTTGTCCCGACTAATCATCATCTGCCACGCCAGTTTGGTGAGAAAAGCGTCATTAAAGTCCTTGGCCCATCTGAGACCCAAACCACCCATATCCCGCGGTTGGCAAATCTTATCCCAGTTGACCGTATGGATCTTCTTCGTGTCTTCGGAGTGCCCCCACAAGAAGTTTCTGCAAATCTTATCAATAGTTTTGCATGTACTTACCGGTAAGGCCATAGTTTGCATAATATACGTCGGAGTCGTGGCCAGGGAGGATTGGACCAACACTCTTCTACTTGCCATGCTGAGGGAACTAGCCTTCCAGTTAGCCAGTTTTCGTCTCATTTTATCCAGAGTCGAGGTGGAAGTATCTCTGGAGACCCGTTTGTGAAGAAGCGGAATTCCAAGGTACGTACCTAGCTCAGGGGTGATCGGGATACCCGTGTAATCTCCAATAGCCCTTTTGATCCCTGCATTAGTGTTAAGAACAAAAGATTTGGGATTTAGTAATACTTACCTTTAAGCCTGAGGAATTGGAGAACCTGTTAAGGCAGTTCTTCATGACTTCTGCTTGACGGCCCGAAGCCCCTCCAAAGAGCATGAGATCATCCGCAAAGAAGAGGTGGGAAATACCAATCCCACCTCTTGAAACTGAAATGGGTTTCCATCTTTTCCTTGAGACCTCGCTCTGAATATCGAAGGCCAACCTTTCCATCACGAGATTAAAGAGATAGGGGGCAAGAAGATCTCCTTGTCGGAGGCCACGGCCCGGCGAAAAGGGTGGCAAACGGCCTCCATTCCAAAGGATAGAAATATCGCTTTCCTTGAGAGAGAAGAGGATAAGCTGTGTTATCCTTCTAGGGAACCCAAAACTATCCAGAGTTTCTTCCAAAAAGACCCAATCAACAGTGTCGTAGGCTTTTTGGAGATCTACTTTGAAGACCATAAGTCCATTTTTGCCTTGCTTTTTGTTCATAGTGTGGATAACTTCTTGGGTAAGGATCACGTTATCAAGCGTAGAGCGTCCCGGTAGGAAACTGTTCTGGTGCGGCCCAATTAAGCGGCACATGACAAGCCGTAAGCGGTTAACCAAAACCTTAGAGATGACTTTAAAGGCCACATTGAGAAGGGTTATGGGGCGAAAGTCGGCAGCTGACTCTGGAACCTCTTTTTTCGGTATAAGAGTGATAAAAGCTTGGAGAAGAGAAGTCGGTACCGATCCACTTGACAAGGCTTGGTTGACAAGGTCTGTTAGGGCGGGCCCAATCTCTTCCCAAAAGAATTGATAAAAAGCCGCTGGGATACCATCCGGACCAGGACTCCCGAACTTTTTCATACCAAAAACAGCTTTCTTGACTTCTTCGATCGAGGCTCTTCTAGATAGCAAACTGGCCTGGTAACTAGAGATCTTGTGGGGCCCAGCGATATGAGCTACCTCGGTACACCCATCACGGTTGACCCTGCTAAAAAGAGAAGCAAAGAACGAGGTAATATGGTTAGAAAGAATAGAGGGTTCATTAGTCCAGTTACCTTGTATCTTGAGGAACCTGACTCTGTTTTTATTCCTTCTAATGGTGGCAGAGTTATGATAGAAGCGGGTATTTCTGTCCCCGTCTTTAATCCAGCTCAATCTAGCTTTTTGGAACCAAAGTGCTTCCTCCTGGTCTAAGACAGTATTGAGCTCTTTAATAAGCTTGTTCTCTAACGCTTGTAGGCCTCTCGAGATAGCATAGTTGGCGTTAGTTTGGGCTCCCCGAATTCTGGCCTCAAGGATACGCTTGCGTTTAAAAATGTTCCCAAAGACATCTCGATTCCAAAGTTTGCTTTTTTCAGTAATGTCATTGATAATGGCGTCCATTGCCTGATCCTCCATTCTCGTGGCATTTTTCCAGATCAAGGCATAGTCGCTCCTAGATAACCAAGCGGCTTCAAAACGAAAAGGCCTGAGCTCTCTATCTGGCGGGTTCCCCGCAACTTCCTTAAAGAGAATCGGGTTGTGATCTGAATGAAGCCTAGGCAGCACGGTCACCTTGGCTTCCGGATAGGCCAACTGGGCATTAGTGTTCCATAAGACTCTATCCAAGCGGCGCATCTGCACAACTCTGTTACCCGCCTGGCGACACCAGGTGAATTTGGGACCCGAAGACCCAGGATCTAATAGACCACAATCGCTAAAGGCTTCAACAAACCTCTGTATGGCCGAGTCATTAGTGATTTCACTGCCCCACTGCTCATCTACCCCCGAAATGTCATTAAGATCTCCGAGAAGAAGCCAAGGACCCTGGATAGAGTTACAGAAAAGCTTACAGTTTTCCCAAAATCTACTCTTGGCCAAAGGATTAGGCCTGACGTAGGCAAATGTGATGAAGCAGTCCACCCTCCTTTGCTTGACCTTAGCGTGGATAGCTTGGGACGAGTGACTGATAACTTCGAGGTCAATTTGACCCTGTTTCCATATAAGAAGTAAACCACCTGCAAACCCCAAGGGTTCTACCAAAAAATGATTAGTGTAGCCAAGCTTACTGACCAAATTCACCATACCCTCCACTTGGGGGGAACGGATCTCAAGGAGGCAGAGGGCGTCAGCTTTGGACGATAATAAAAGCTCTTTTACATGCTTTTTTGCCCGAGCATTAACAACCCCTCTACAATTCCAAGAGATGACGATCATCGGGAAACACCATCGGGGTGGGAAGTTTGGCAACCGCCTTCCCCGGGCGTGGAACTCGAAATAGAGACGGGATAATTAAAAGCCATGTCCCCTAAGGCATGGTCAAAAGGTGGTGGACCATGCACAACTCCAAACTGAAAAATAGAGGAACTATCTCCCTGCTCATTTGCCTCACCTGGCGCAAAGAGCTCTGAGTTATAGGACATGGAGGTTCTTTGAGAGAAACCACCTCTGCATGTTCCCCTCATCGGATAATTGGAGGCCCGATAACTGCCCCCACGACCCCTATTTGGTTGGCTGCTGTGTCTCCAGGCAGCAGGGCGGGAGGTCTGAGCAGCGGGCCGTTCCAAAGGGGGAACCGGCCTTTCCTGAGACGGGGGTGGCCGTTCTGGTGGAGGGAACGGCCGATCCAGAGGAGAAGCGGCTCCCATGGAAGAGCTAGGATTACTTACTAATTATCTAATTATTAATAATTTTGAATTAATATTAATATCCCATCCAACCCAACCCGTTAAAGCAAATTAATTCCTATTCTTTTTTGGACACTAAAATTAAAGAATTATAAATTAAGAATTGTAATTGATATGTAAATTATTATATTTATAATTATGAAATTTTAAATTTTAATTAACAAAAACCATCGAATTTCCTATATCTATCTCAACTCCTAATTCTATTTAAACTCCTAAACTCTTAAATTTAAATTACAACCTTAGTCATTATTAGAAACAATTGCAACATCATGTAAGAATATATATATATATATATATATATATATATATATATATATATATATATATATACACTAGTTTTTCTACGCGCTTTGCGCGAATAGGATAATGTCCAATACTTATTTTTAAATAAGTATTTCAAAGTATATCAATGCAATATTATATAGAAATGTTCATGCATAGGTAAATAAATGTTGATTTTGTTTATTTAAATTGGTAATTTAAAGTATATAAATGCAAGATAATATATGAGAGATTGATTATATATAACTGTCACAAAAATAAATGTTTGCAACTTTGTAATAACGTTAATCTTAGTACTAAGTCTAAAAGCGATAGTCTAAATAAATACTATTTTTGGTTTAAATTTTTCTAATTCTCTTTTAGGTAGCATTGTTATTGTTTTCATTTTCACTACATGTCTTTTTTTTTTTCTTTTTTTTTTGTTATTGGTAGTGTGTCATGTGCAATTGGTTTATTGGTAGTATCATAGAGGGATTTATCAGGATTATGGTGTATGAAGTTTTAGATTTGTCTTTTTGTGTATATGACTGAGATCTTAGTTGTGCTATGAACTCTTTATCTTACAAGTACATGTTGATATTTGGTAGTGGTAATTTTCACCTACATGTTTCATGTGTTGTGAGACATCTAATTCTAAATTAATTAAATGCATATATATTATTTTTTGTTGTAGCTACTAATTTATTTTTTAATTTAAGTAATAAGAGCAATAAAGTGGAAAAATTATGATGTGGAACCGTGAGGTGGACAAAGGTGGACACGGTTCCAAAACTGTTCATAATTATAAATATATAGTTCAAAAATTATGAACATATATTTCTATAATTATGAATATAGAGATTCAATAATTGTGAATATGAAGTTAAAAAATTATGAATATATAGCTTTATAATTATGAATATATAGGTCAGTAATTATAAACATAGAGTTCTGTATGTAATTGCGAATATAGAGTTCAATAATTATGAATATGAAGTTCAAATATTATAAATATATAGCTTTATAATTATGAACATATAGTTCAGTAATAATGAACATAAAACTGTGTCCACATTGCAAGGTGTACATAGTTCCACAGCATAACGATTGAATAAAGTGGCTACATACTTTTCATCCACAATAATGAAATCATTGATTTTTTTTTAAATTTCCATTCGTTGTTGAGACAAATTGTTTTGAGAGTTTGTCAATGACAATTGCTGTCAATAGATGATGATAATAAATAATTCAAAATATAAGGTTACAATAGATATTATTATAATAATATAGTAAAAATTAACTTACAAATTTCTTTAAAAATTTTCATGCATACATTGATAAAAGCATAATTGAAATATTAAGTTTTGTTCTCAATAATCAAAAGAAGATTAATTAAACGAAAAAAAAAAAACTTAAATTTATTATTTTTTTAATGAAAGAAAATCAAATGAGTATCAAAGTTCCTGATTTATAATCATTGAATGCTATGTATTTAGTAGGGCTAATTATTTGACCAAAGTTTATGTTAAATTTTATACTTTTATCTTTTAATACATTTTAACATATTCGTAGTATATGCTTAACAATTATGCTAACTCTAATTGGAATGGGGGTTCGAACCTAAGACCTTTCTTATAGAAATCTAATCTAATCTAACTTCTAACTCTATAATAAAGCAAGAAGTTTTGTCAATCATTGTTTCCCGCCCAATAAAAACGACACAGTTTTGACAATAGCAGATTTTTCCATTTCATTTAATGCAATTTCTAGGTAGAGAAGCTGCCGTTTTACTAGGTAGACTCAATCCAGGAGTACTAAATGCTGTTTATATTGTTTTACAGATATCTAGATGGTTCCCATCTATGTTTTTTGTTCCATTTTAAATTTGAATTAATTACACATTCATAAATACATAGAGAAGCAAACTTGCAATACTACTAATACATCCTAATAAATCAGATCTATTTTAAATTTAATTGAACATAAGACTAATGAATCTGCTCTTGGAATCTGAAACGTTTTGTTGGATCTTCATACTTCCAAGACACTTTGTTTTTTTTCGAAGGGGCATAGAACAAACCACAATATCTAATTGAAAATCTACTATAAATAGTGCGGTGTAATCAGATATTCAACCCCACAAACGAAAAACTTTCAAATTAACTCTCCGAATTTTGCTGTAAAAAGCCCCTCAGAATACATTTTGCTTCTCAGGTTAGCCCTCTCCACAGGAGGAGAGGAGCAATAAGAGTCCGGTTGGTCCAAACTTACGAATCTGTGAACTGCAAGGAGGAACAACAAGCAAGAGCAAGGAATAGTCTTTTCCCTAACAAACAGGTAAGATTAATGTTTCCATTTTTTTCGTACAAACTATTCTGACCTGCATGTTTTGTTTGTAACATAATTAAATAATTTCTTTGCTTTTATATACTGGGTACATACATACATGAAACAATACCGAAGGATGATGTTGTAATGTATTGCAATGCTTATTAAACTGTTGAATTTCTCTATTTCTCTATTTGCATCTACTGGCATCATATCTTAGTTGTTCCTGATTTTCCTTTATTGGTATTTTTTGTTTTATTTTGACCTAAACAAAAATTCAGGTACAATAGTGCAAACTGTAATACAATCAACTGGCAATGACAGTTTCAGCAAGCAAATATTGAAGACATTCTAAATCTTGGGCATGCATGGAGCATTTAGTTTGAAAAAGATGTAACACATTAAATAATTATTTGAAACTGCTCTTAAACCACATCTACTCTGATTTGGTTATATGATTATTTCTGCCTGTTTTTTTTTTATTCCTATTGCAAATCATATAATTTACTATTTTTTTGTGTTTGAAAAATAAGTGGGGAACATGTGTAGGTGATGAAGTAAACAGTCTAACAATTGCTGCTCAAGGAATTGTTTAAGCTGGAGCAAAGTATCAAACAAACTATACCCAAAACTCTTTCATATTTAGTTTACTATATGCACATTTAATGTAATAAAAAAAAGTATGAAAACCATGAAATTAAGAAATAATCAAAATTGTATAGCAACATACTATTAAAGAATTTTCATTTAAAAAAAAAGTAAAAAAAAAATAGTAGGGAACAAGAGTTATTTTTGAAGATGCTTTGTTTTCTCAAGCTTAATTTGAAAAATATTTTACTGAGCTAATGCATGTTTAAACATCATCTGCTAATAAAAGCAATACATGCAGACACATTTTATTAAAAATGAGTAGCAAAAACTTCTACAGTATTAATTAGATCACCTAGAAATGGACAACAAAAGATATTTAAAGTGTTTTAGATAGCAAAAATGACAGAATAGTTTGAGTTCTGGAGTATTAGACTGAACATTAGGAACTCTAGAGTTAAGCATGCAAACTAACATAAAAATGAAATTCTAGATGAGTAGTGTTATTGAGCAAAACCGTTGATAGAAAATTTATACACTAAATAAAATAGATATGAAGCCCTAGCAGTCAAGCTATCAATGGAAGATCTTTGCCATGTAAGATGTGTGCATGATTCAAAAACTATGCAGAATATGTATTCTCCAAAGTGCTAAATCTACAGACTTAGGATACCATAAGGAAATATGGAATTTCAAGTATAAGTATAAATGCAAACATTATTTGTAGCTACGAAAGCATAAAAAGAAAAAGAAATCAAAATGAAGTAAATAAGACACCATTAGTAAAGAACACTCAAAAAATAAAGAAAAATCACAATGAATTAAATAAGAAACCAAAGTAGTTCATTAAGTTGGAAAATAGTTCCAACACAGCTTCTGTCTAAATTTTAGCATTTTGTAAGAAGGTGAACTTTTTTTTTTGAAACCTATTATTCCAGCTTGAAAAAAACATACTGGAACCAAAGTATACCTATTGTTCCATGTTGAAAGAAACAAAATCTTAATAGTTGAAATTTTGAAAAAAAAAAAAAACTAAACATTGCTTTCATTTTGAAGAAAAAAAAAGAACCAAATCTGGAGAATTGAGATTTCAACTAAAAAAAACAAATTTAAACTAACTCTAAATTTATTTTGAAAAAAATAAACTTGAACCAAGGTGAGATTCTTTATAAATAAATGAAATGGTGATTTTTTATTTTTTTTTAAAACAAGCATTTTCAAAATTTTCTAGACATGATTAACTATGAAACACTATTTTAAAACTACCAATATCTGGCGGTATAGAATAGAAAGGTGATTAACCAACTTGGTCTTTAAAAAACAGTATCAGAAAAGTATTACATCATTTAAAAAAAAAAATTGTTCTTTAAAGTACAAAGATTGTCACAGAAGCAATTTGTAATTCTTATATGAATTACTACCATAGAAAATAAACCTAAGGCACAAATATAAACCTAAGATAATTTAAGTACTAATGGCAAAGCATTATCAAAAAAATATAACAAAGATAATTTAAGCATGTATAAATTAAACTTACAATGTTTTTAAAATCTAAATCTGGACTTTGTCTTATAGTGTTGTTGACCTCTCTGTTCTTCCACCTGCAATAATAAAACACACATTCAAAGATGAAATTAAACACTGTGCAGTTAAACTGTCCAAACTCAAGACAATAATTCATTTTCGAACACTGAGGTAATTACAAACATACATGCATCATAAAATGAAAACATATAATGTAATGCCCACAAAATATAAGTATTCTACGAAATAAATACACAAAATTAAAAGAGTTTACTTATCTTACTAAGGCATTCTGGAATTAGGTTTGTGAACTAACATCGCGAAATCAGCGGCAGTTGAGTAGAATCGGCTAGCAGAAACGAGATAGGGTTAGGTTTTGGATAATGAAATTTGTGAGTTTAGGTCAGAAATTCAGGTATTTTGTAAGCATAAATGTAATTACTATAGTCCAGGGTTGGATTTGAGAGCTTCGAACAAAGCGCGATATTGTGGATAAAAAGCTTAACCACGGTCGATAAACGACTTGCCATCGGAAACCATGGATTACAGCTTTGACAGGACAAATTTGTGAGAAGCGAGAAGAAGGTTACAGACCGGAGAGAGAGAGAGAGGCGGAGGAGGCGAAGGGTCGGGCAGGGATGGTGAATTATGCGGCTGAACTGTGCTTTTATATCCCATAGATTTGGTCGGGTCTAATATATTGGGTTGGGTTATGATATTGGGTCATATCATTTGGGCTTAAATATCATGTATGTATAGTGAGGCTATTATTGGCCAGATGTATATTATTAAATTGTTGGTCTTTTTTTTTTTTACTTACAAATTTAGGATGTAGAATTGTGTAATTAGATATGTTATGTGTACTATATTTTTTAATTTAATAAACATACATTATTTTATATTATATATAACATAATGTACATTACCATTATGCAAGACAAAAATGTGCGCATATTAATAGTGTATTTTTTATAACATTTAATAATTTTAGTTATATATATATTTTGTAGTTATATCAGAATGTTGTTAAATCCTTATATGCAACAAAATTTTTAAATTATTTTATATGTTACGGTTGGTTTGAACCACGTGTAAATAAATTTTATTGTTAATTAGTTTGATATTCGATTATTTTTCCTATTAGTTTGCAATTGTTGACCTAAAAATTTATATCTCAGAGAATTCCAGTGATGGCATAACACATATTATAATTCTAGATGAGTTATTAGTCATTATTAATAATGTTATTATTATTAACTTTTTTCTTTTTATTACTATTAGTATTAGCATGTACTGTATTATCTATACTTACAATTTTTAATATTATAAAATTAACGTATAATTTTGAGGATTAATTCACAATGAACTCTTACATTATAAAATTAACGTATAATTTTGAGGATTAATTCACAATGAACTTTAAGGATTAATGCTTGATTTAATTATTTTTAACATATGATCAACAATAAAATTATTTAAATTTTATGTAGTGCATCTCATGAATGGAATGTTATAATTTAATATCATAATAGTTCAAATTTGGGAAAATTTTGTATTGAGATAGATTTTAATATTAAAATAGTAACTTTATAACATGTTGGTTTATTATTCAAGAATCTTGGTGGCTCAACTAAAAACTTCAAGAAACATAATAAGCAATTCTTTAATAATATTTGATTTTATAGTTCTGTTGTTGAAAAACATTTCACTTTAATAAAGATAATAATGTGATGTTTGATTTTTTTTATTTAAATCCTATTCTTAAAGATTATGATGTCACATTTTTTATTATATATATGACACCACACAAGTGGAGTTGAATTATTTAATATTCTTAAAATCGTTACTCATATTAAAAAATATTTAAGTTTGACAATAAACTTAAATTATTTTGTAAACAAATAAAGGATTTTTCTTTATGAATCGGAGTAATAGAATTACTGGATTCACAAGTAAGTTAGAAATAGAGCAAAAAAAATATATAGAGATAAAACAACAGATTATGATCTCATTCGATGCTTAATTGATTATAGAAAAAAAAATCAGCAACAAACAATTGTGTAACTGTTTTTAGCAAGTGTAATTAATTACATTATTTGACTGTTTGTTAAATTTAATAGATTACCAATACTGAAGAGGTACTAATCTTCATGGTCACCCCATCTGAAAATTAAATGTAATGGATGTTCTATGATTTATTATTTTGGAATAAAATAATATTTGCATTATAATTATATTTAAAGTTATAATACAAAGTCTTAATTTATGAAAAAAAAAACAAATTATTTTAGTAAAGAAATAAAACTTGGCGTAAGAATATACTGAAAATATTCCTAGAGGGTTAAAGATGGTCTTAGGGTTAGGAGAAAATATTTTATTACTGGTTTTATTGGGTTCGGGTCCGTGGTCAAGAAGAAAATAGTACTATGACTGTAGGTACATACCCCCATGTGAAGCGATTTGGCGTTTGTTTGGTTTTGATATACAACTTAGGGCTCCTTCAGTGGAAAGGTTAAGCTTTCCCCTTCCTAATCAACAGAGTGTGGTATTTGCAGATGATGATCCTGTTGAGAACATTGTTAATAGACCCACTATAGCACAGAGCATGTTCTTGCAATGGTTTGAGGTGAACAAGATTCGTTTAGAAGAAAGACCTTAGAAAATGACAGCCACGGAAAAAAGGATTCTCAATCGGAAGGATATCCTATGTCCCGCCAGCGACTGGAGAAATCTTTTATTTGAGGTGTTTGTTAATAAAATACGTGGCCCTACAAGTTATACAGATACAAGGACTGTAAATGGTGTCCACTATGACTCATTTCGAGATGCATGTTATGCAATAGATTTAGTTTGCAATTGTTGACCTGAAAATTTATATCTCAGAGAATTCCAGTGATGGCATAACACATATTATAATTCTAGATGAGCTATTAATCATTATTAATAATGTTATTATTATATGCTTTTTTTTTTGTTTTTATTATTATTAGTATTAGCATGTACTGTATTATCTATACTTACAATTTTTAATATTATAAAATTAACGTATAATTTTGAGGATTAATTCACAATGAACTTTAAAGATTAATGCTTGATTTAATTATTTTTAAGATATGATCAACAATAAAATTATTTAAGTTTTATGCAGTGCATCTCATGAATGGAATGTTATAATTTAATATCATAACAGTTCAAATTTGGGCAAATTTTGTATTGAGTTAGATTTTAATATTAAAATAGTAACTTTATAGCATGTTGATTTGTTATTAAAGAATTTTGGTGGCTCAACTAAAAACTTCAAGAAACATAATAAGCAATTCTTTAATAATATTTGATTTTATAGTTCTGTTGTTGAAAACAATTTCACTTTAATAAAGAGAATAATGTGATGTTTAATTTTTTTTTAATTTAAATCCTATTCTTAAAGCATTATGATGTCACATTTTTTATTATATATATGACACCACACAGGTGGAGTTGAATTATTTAATATTCTTAAAACCGTTACTCATTAAAAAATATTTAAGTTTGACAATAAAGTTAAATTATTTTGTAAACAAATACTCTATTTTCTATAATGTATATATATATCATACTATATATATAGCCGCGCATCGCGTGGGTGCACCTACTAGTTAATGAGTAAGTTAAGAATAATAAATAGTTAACAGAATATTCCGTTAATAAAGTTAAAATTAACGGAGTTTAAGGTTATTTAAAGAAAAAAAATAATATAATAAAAGCTAAATAAGAAAAATCATTAAAAATACTAAAATCAAAATACTATGAACCATTCATTTTAAGAAACAAATAGTATCGACATTTTTTTTATTCCAGTTAAGGACCTAACATTATCGGCTCTTATTAGAATTGTATATATTATATATATATATATATATATATATATATATATATATATATATATTCAATAATGTAAAAAATCAACACTTAATAAAATATTATGTAATAGTCAAATTATATCTTAAAACTTATTAAAAAGTTAGAATGTAATAAACTCACAACAATATCCAATAATATAAAAAATCAAATTTGCAAACTAGCTAGGACGATGAAATATATATATATATATATATATATATATATATATATATATATATATATATATAAAGGAAGCCGCTTCTTATCAAAAAAAAAAAATATCAAAAACATTTTTCAGCCACAATATTCTACGGCGTCGTTTTCCTTTAGCTTATAAAGTCTGATTTCAAAAATTTTGTTTCTCCCGCCTATTTAGATTGTGTTAAGATAGTTGTGATCTTACTCCTACAATTTAGGGTAATAGGCTATTATCTACTACATATTGAGTGTTGTAATTAGATTGGGTTGCGTGTAGAAGTAGTGTGGATGGGTATGGGATTGCTTACAAGTACATGCACTCTATTATTATTTATACATTGCTCCCACTCACTTCCTCGGCTATAAATACATGCTTATTGTGAGTGTTGAGCTTCATTGCAAAAACAAAGCTAAGTGTGGTAAATTACAAGGTTGAGATTGCTGATCCCTTATGCAATTCAAATAGAAATCTAAGCTGTTAAAGATCTTGTTTAATGCTCTGTTTTCTGCCTTGCAGTGTCATCATGTCTGGCCAGTTTATTGTGGGGAGTCAGCTTCATCCTCAGCAAACTTCAAAGGCTATAAGGTTGCGTTGTGTGCGTTCTTACGTTTTTACTGAAAACAAAGGTGAAAAGTTAATAAGAAGTCAAGAATGTATATTTCATGATCAAGAGGTTTGTCAATTATATCTATATCTACCATTGTTTGAATTCTTATTAATCTTATGTTTGGCACCTCTTATATTTTTAATATCTAACTTTGTTGTTTACCACTTTTGTTCTAAATACAGGGTCTGTTCATCCATGTCCATATACCTAAGGATGTTGTGGCAAAATATAAGAACATATTCAAGGAGGGTAAAGTGTATGGCATTAGAAACTTCCTATGCATCACTAACTTCTTCAAGTATAAAACAAGCCCTCATCGTTACATGATGAAGATCAAACATGATACACTTGTGAAGGAATATAAGCGTGTGAATTTCCCCAAAACAATGTTTCGCTTCAAGAGTTTTGAAGACATACTTTCAAAATAGGGAATTGATGAGAAAGTCTTGATAGGTTATATTAAAAATATATATATATTCTAAAGTCAATATGATTTATTACCTCTATTGTGATGTTATGTTTTATTTAACTACTATGCTATTTTTTCTAAATTCAGATGTCCTTGGTCGTATTGTGGAGATATATTCTCCCTAGGAGAAACTAATAGCAGGGAAGAAGGCTAGACTAATTGACTTTGTGCTTGAAGATTCTAGGTATGAATCCTAATTCTGATTTGTCTCTCTAATTTTGATTTGAAACTTCTATCTTATGCTTTTTTTGCTGGTTTTAAAATGGTATGTAGTCAGAGGCAGATTAAGTGTACATTATGGGATGAGCATGTGGATCAACTAATTCCATACTTCAACTCAGTTGCTAAGGATCCAGTTATACTGTTGATTCAGCTCTGCAGAGCTAAATTCATGGACAGTGAGTTATATCTCTATTTACTTCTTCTATGTTTTTGGTTTATCCATTTCCCTCTATTTTACATTATTAGTAA